TTTTTTTTTTTTTAAAAAAAAAAAAAGCACCAATTAATTTGTGGCTGTCATTCGGAGAAAAGTTTAATCGAGCTTACGTTAATAGTTTAATTCACATGATATATATATATATATTATACTACATCAAAATTGCATCACATGATTCTTTAAATATAAATTTAATCCGACAAATCTGATACAAGAATTTTTTTTATCAACTTTCTTTTACGCGCGATCAAAAAAAAGTATATAATCGATTAGATAATGCATTGTCCATCTTACCAAAATCGAAAGAATCCGAAAAGGTTTAAACCACACAAAAAAAAAAAGGGGAGATGGCTGGTAAAAAAAAAAAATTTTTTTTTTTTTTTTCCAATAGAGAACGCACTGGACCTAATTCGCGTGGCAAAATCAAGTTGATGATAAACCGCCACTTGTCTAATTATAGTACGCGTGGCCAGATTTATGAATATTTTTCTTTTTTACAAGAAAAACAAATTATTACATCTCACTTTGGAATTTTTCTCGACTCTTCAATTTAAGAATACATCTTCGACCCCTTTAAGAACGCCTAAGTTACCGGATTATGCAAAACGTTAGTAATATCACAGTATTTCTATATTTAGACAAATTACATAAACCGGAACTGATTCAAGAAAGTTCATAAAGAAGATGAACTTTTTAATATAATACCGAAAATTTCCGATTTTTTTATTGTATTATTTTAATTATATTTGTTTTAGGGATTGATGTTCATAATGATGAACTAGCTTGACTGGAGCTAGATCAACATTCTTTAAAATAGGGAGTTACTAATTTTATTTATATTTTGTTAGGAAACAAATTTATTTTATTTTTATAATTTAACGAAAGAAAATGATTTGTGCGTACAAATGGGGAAGAAAACGATATAATTCGTTAAGTTTTTTAATATTTTAACTCACTAAAATTATCGAAAATAAAAAAACTTTTTTTATTTATTAAATAAATACGCGTGGACAAGACTATAAACGTAAACAGGCAAGATTACAAGAAATTTTGTCAAAGATAATACAACAGATGCATCCCGGATTATTATGTTCGGGCAATATTTTATCAAGTTTGAAACAAACCATCGAGAAAGAAATTGAAGTAACATTTGGTAATATTTTTTTTTTTTTTAAAATTTAAAACAATATTTTGATTTAAAACCAACATCTGTTCGAGGAAA